GCGAGGACGTGGCGACGGGCCAGGCGGCTCTGCCAGCCACCGGCCGCTGCCGGGGTCGGGGGGCCCGAAGAGAGGAGCGAGGAGGGTCTGCGCGGGCAGCGGGGGCTCGCACCCTGCCCGCTCGAGGCCAGGCGGGATGAACGCCGCTCCGAACCCAACTGTTCCCGCTCTCGTGAGCGGCAGCAGCGGGGCGGCTGCGGGAGCTGCGACAGAGGTCGCTTGGCCAGTGCCACCAGGGACCCTAACGGGGGAGTCTCACCTTCGCTCTCACCCCCTCCTCGGGCTCCCTGCAACCTCAGCTGGGGAAGCACAGAAGAGCAGCAAGCACCGAAGCTGTTGCCTTCTCCCAAGCCAGCCTCTCCTGGCCGGCTACCGAAGGCACTTAAGCAGAAGACAGCAAGTTAAGAGAATGAAGAGCGCTTAGCGTTGTGGTAACTTGCCAAAGTCTGTGCCATTAGCTGTTTAAGAATCACTTGATGAAGATGGAGAAAGTTTCCCAAAGAGCTTTACAGTTGTGGTTTGCTCAGATCATTTTATTTCAGACCTCGAGGGAACAATCCAATCATGAGCTGTAACAGCGTTCCGGGTGGAAGACAGTTCCCCAAAGCTCAAAGGAGATGTGACTGTTCCCTGGAGCGGAGAAGAGACTACGCTCCGTTCTCAAGGTCAGACTGAGAAGGGCAAAAAGCGCTCACTGGTGGCTGCACACACTGTTCGGAGAAGCTAAATATTTGCATCTGTCCCCGACACTAACGCTATTTACCCTTCTCTGATGACTACTGACGTGTTGCAACACGAGGGGGTGGAGAGCAAGAGAACACACCACCTGGATGGGGCTTTGCCTTGGCCACCCGATGGAGGAGGAACGGGTGGTGGGGAAGGGCCGAGGGCAGCACTGTCGAGAGCAGCAAAGCGCCTGCAGGCCCAAGGAGATTTGCCTCTCAGGAGGACCCCAACATTTCAGCACCCTGTGACCTACAAAATGCCACGTGGGGGTTTCAAAACACTTCCCAGCTGAGCTAATGCTTTAACTTAAAGATTCAACTGACACCTCAGCTTTTAGAACAGGAGAGGTGACAACCTGCCCAGGAAGATGTCCGGGCAACCCCCTGCCAAGAATTAGATTCCTCCGACGGGCGCAGTCAGGGAGCCTGCCTGCCCCCCGGAGTGGCGTCAGCAGGCGCTCTCTGCCCTGACCGACGCCGTTCAGCAGCCGTCCGGCTGCGCAGGGCCCGTGCTCCCGCCACGGGAAGGGCGCCGCAGCCTGACAGGGGCTGAGCGCAGCCTCCGCTGCCCGGAGGAGCAGCCCCTCGTCCGCTCAGCACGGCGACTTCGCCTCACTGCGTTCATCCCGCTGCCGTGCAGCTGGGGCGGGTCACGAGCAGGCACCTGCCCAGCGCCGGGGCTCGGCGGACAAACAGCGGCTCGTGGAGCCGGAAAACACCGTGAGGGCGAGCACAGCGAGCACAAAGATGAGGGTGGTGGAGAACCACGCGGAAAATGGTAAGATGTGCTCCGTGCGAACTCGAAGGTGGGCTGGCAGCGAGCTCTTTCACATGTACCAGCTCTGACTTTCTTCTAAGCTCAGGGAGGCAAAAGGAGTCTCAGCGCACACTCTGCACAGTCCGCCACTGCACACACCCACCGGTCAAATCCCCCCATCGCTCTGGGGCGCCCAGAGGCGCAGAGCTGGCAGAGGCTCTGGAGCACGACCTCCACCCACCCCGGGGGTTCTCTGCCTGCAACCAGCCCCCAGCCCGGACCCTCCTCCCCAGCGCAGCCCCCGAGCAAACGCTGCCTTCCTCCAGGCAGTGGCCTCTACAAACCCTGCAAGCCGGAGGTCAGAAGAGGGGCACTCTGTAACCACACCCACCGCACGCAGCGCACCAGCTGGTTAGCAGAGGAGAAACTGTGCAAAAGCTTCTACGAAAATGTTAGCAAGGACACGGTTAGTGTTTTCACGGATCGAGACAGTACAAGCATATTCTACCCGCTGCCTAGTACGTGTCTGGAGCAGACAAAGAGACCAGAAGTTTCCAGCCTGCTATCTAACAATCCCTTCCTTACTGGAGCAGACTATTTTAAGGTCTACTGTCTAAAATTAGAAGCTGGAGGGACCCATATTTCCAGCAAGCTCACTTTGTGTAAGGCATCAGAGTTGGATGTTTACTGCATGTCTTGATACAAAAGCTGCACTGATACCCAAGGCCACAGCTGAGATCTTCCTCCCTCCGCCCCTCGGCAGGGAGGGGCACATCGCTGCGCACTCCTGCGGCAGGTTAGTGAGGATCGCATGCTGGTGCACACTAAGCAAAGGAATTCAGCGCTTCAGAGTTGCTGGAGAACCTACTGCTCGATTAGCCAACATTTTGGGGGGATCCAGCTTTGTGGGCACCGAGGAGTGTCAGAGGAGTCACTGCCCACAGCAATCAGCACCCACGAGAACAAGAGACAGGTGAAGCCTTCGCTGGAACCAACACTGTCGCCTGCAGTGAGACTGCTCGTGGTGTAACTGAGCTGTGGAACACCACAGGGTGAGCCCCGTGGAGGAACAAGGGCAAATGTTAACAGACGGGGAGTTACCTCTGCACAGCTTCCTGATCCGGCTCCCCATCGGAGCTCTCCTCGTCCACGGGGGTGACGGCGGGCACAGCCTGCGGAGAGAAAAGCCGCGGGTTCCCGAGGGTGGCCGGCGCGGGCCCCCCGCACAGCAGACGCTTCCCAGACGACCTGTCACAGGACATACGTCGGTTCTGCCACCCCGAGGACCCTCAGCCAAGGAGCCTTTTGACATTCCCTCCCCAGAACTGCCTGCACAAGGCTGCTGCTTCTTTTGGCAGGAAAATTCACTGATACAGATGCATCAAGGAAGAAAGAATGTGCATCAGCACCCAGGAGGGACATTTGAGTCTTCTTAGAACAGAATCACAGAATCATCTCTGCTGGAAAAGCCCCTGCAGCTCCTCCAGCCCAACCATGACCCTCCCCCTGACCGTTCCCAACTCCCCCAGACCCCTCAGCGCTGGCTCAGCCCGACTCTTCAACCCCTCCAGGGATCCCGGGGACTCCCCCCTGCCCTGGGCAGCCCATTCCAACGCCCAACAGCCCCTTCTGCACAGAAATCCTTCCTCAGAGCCAGCCTGACCCTGCCCTGGGCAGCTTGAGGCCATTCCCTCGGGGCCTGGCGCTGGGGCCTTGGCTCCAGAGACTCATCCCCCCTCTCTGCCCCCTCCTGGCACTGTCTCTTATACAC